GCAGGGGTTGCACAGTTAGCTTCGCAGACAGAGGAAGCTGTTTTCCAAAGCGTCTACACCATTTCCATTCCTGGCAACATGTGTGTGTTTGTGTCTTTTGTCCACTTGCTTTGTTAAAAAAATATTTATTTGAGAAGCAGAGTTACAGACAGAGGGAGAGGCGGGGGGGGGGGAGGGATGTCTTTCATCTGCTGGTTCACTCCCCAAGTGGCCTCAGTGGCCAGAGCTGGGCTGATTTGAAGCCAGGAGCCAGGAGCTTACTCCAGGTCTCCCACGTGGGTGCAGGAGCCCAAGGACTTGGACCATCTTCCACTGCTTTCCCAGGCCATAGCAGAGAGCTGGATTGGAAGAGGAGCAGTTGGGACTAGAACCAGTGCCCACATGGGATGCTGGTGCTGCAGGTAGCAGCTTTACCTGCTACACCATAGTGCCGGCCCCTCACCCACTTCTTAAGTGGGTTCTTTAACTCTTGGCTTTAGCTGTTGTAGCTTCCATTCCTTCCCTGGGCTGTATGCGTCAGAAACATTTCTCAAAGCTTATCCTTTCATCTTAACAGGCTCTTTCAGAGAATACATGTCTCTAATCTCGATGAGGTGCAATTGATTGGTTTTTCCTGCCATGGGTTGTACTTTTCATGTCAAGTTTAAGGCCTCTGCCCACTCCTTCGTCCTGAAGATTTTCTCATGTGGTTTCTTAAAAGTTTTGTAGCTTCGCATTTTGTGGTTAAATCTGTGAGATATGGTAAGTCAGTGTTTGCACCAGGTGTGGGGTTTGGGCGCAGGTTTGTCTTCTTCCTATGGATGTCCACTTGCTCCAGCGTTTGTTGAAGTCTGCCCTTCCTCCATTGGATTCCTTTGGATCTTTGTCAGAAATTGATTGGGTTCATTTGTGAGGGTCTAGTCCTGGAGTCCTAGGTTCCAGTTCCTGTTATATTGTACTGTGTGGTTATCCTGCAACCAGTATCACAGAGTATTGATTAGTATTGTGGTATAATAAGTATTGAAAGCCAGTAGTTAATCCTTGGCCTGCAGTGCTGGCATCCCATGTGGGCACCGGTTTGCGTCTTAGCTCCTCCTCTTCCAATCCAGCTCTCTGCTATGGCCTGGGAAAGCAGTAGAAGATGGCCCAAGTCCTTGGGCCCCTGCACCAGCGTGGAAGACCTGGAAGAAGCTCCTAGCTCCTGGCTTTGGATCGGCACAGCTCTGGCCATTGCAGCCAATTGGGGAGTGAACCAGTGGATGGAAGACCTTTCTCTCTGTCTCTCCCTCAGACTGTAACTCTACTTCTCAAATAAATAAATTAAATCTTAATAAAAGATGTTTTAAAAAAATCCAGTAGGTTGACTTCTTCTACCTTACTATGCTTTTTCAAAATTGTGTTAGCTATTATTATTATTTATTTTCCTTTTTATGTAAGTTTTATGGTAAACTTGGCTGGAATTTCGATAGGAATTGTGTTAAGTCTGAATTCAATTTGGAGAGGATTGACCTCTTTACCGTGTGGAGTCTTCCAGTCCATGAACATGGTATGTCTCCATTGATTTAGAGCTTTTATGATCTAACCAATGTCTTATCTTTATAAGTGTACAAATCCTCTGTGTATTTGTTAAATTTACATCCAAGTATTTCATTTTTTGAACAATAATAAGTGGTATTTTAATTTTGATGTCAGTTTATGTGTGTTTATTGCTAGTCTACAAAAGCACAATTGACTTTTGGGTGTTGACCTTAAGAATTTCACTCTGCAGGCATGTGTGGTGTTTTGTGTCTGTGCATCCTCTCTGTTTGCTGTGTAGCCCATCATGTCTTTTTCACCTCTCCTTCCCAATCTCTGTGCCGTCTCTTTCTTTCCTTAGCTTGTTTCGCTGACTCGCCCTCCCAGGGCGATGGCATGTCTGGGTGTGGGAGCTGACACCCGGCCTTGTTCCTGGCAGGAGCATTTACTGTTTTTTGCTGTTAAGGGGAACGTTAGCCCCAGGTTCTTGCTGCTAATCTCTATCTGTCTCCATCTCTCTGGAAGTTTTCATCATAAGTGGGTGCTGGGTGTCATCACTTTCCTTGTCTGTACCCATTTCTCTGCAATTTTTAATTCTTTTTCCTGCTGGTATGGTGTTTTTTTCATTAAAAAATTTAAAGTTCTTTTTTAATTTAAAAGGCAGAGTGACACACACACATACACACACACACACACACACACACACACAGATCTTCTGTCTGTTGGTTCATAACACTCCTGGTTCCCAACAGCTGGGGCTGGGCCAGGCCAGAGCCAGCCGTGAGGGACTCCATCTGGATCTCCCACGTGGGAGGCAGAGACCCAAGGACTGGAGCCATCGCTGTTGCCTCCCACGCACGTTAGCAGGGAGCAGAGGCGGAGGTGGGACTCCAGGCGCTCTGGCGTGGAGTGCGATGACTCAGCAGCGTAACCTGCTGAGCGTCACAGCCTGCCCCTGGCGTGGTGTCTAGCGCTGATGGGTGGTGTGGTTTTGAGCACTGGAACATCCGTGGCGTTGCATCCGTGGATGGAGGGAGCCCCGTTGGGCCTGGGAGCACAACTCTTTCTAAGCGTCACTGAATTGCTGGGGTGTTATCAGGAATTCTACATTTATGTTCATGTTTTTACAGATATTTATTTTAGTACTTGAAAGAGTGGTACAGAGAGAGGGAGAGACAGAGATTTTCTGTTCTCTGGTTCACTCCTCAGATGGCTGCATAGAGTCGGGGCTGGAACAGGCTGAAGCCCCGAGCCCGGAACTCCACCTGGGTCCTCCAAGTGGGAGGCAGGGGCCCAAGTCCTCCTGTCATCTCCCCCTGTTTCCCCAGGCATATTAGCAGGGAGCTGCATGGGAAGCGGAGCAGCCGGGGTTTGAACCAGCGCTCGGACGTGGGATGCTGGTATTGCAGGCTGCGGCTCAACCTGCTGTGCCACAGTGCCTGCCCCCATATTCATCCTTAGAGCGTGTTTGCAGCCGTTCACAGGCCCATCCCTAGAATGGCCGCTTTAGGGGCCAGCGCTGCAATATAGGTGGTGGAGCTGCCAGCTGTGATGTTGGCAGCCCATGTGGGCAGCAGTTCGAGTCCTGGCTGCTCCACTTCTGATCTGGCTCCTGCTAACGTGTGTGGGAAAGCAGCGGAGGAGGGCCCTGGGCTCCTGCTCCCACGTGGGAGACCAGGTTGAAGCTCCTGGCTCCTGCCTGGCCCAGCGCAGACAGGTTGGACAGCTGGGGAGGGAGCCAGCACATGGAAGCTCGCTCGCTCACTCTCTGTCTCTCTCTGTAACTATGCCTTTCAAATGAATAAAATAAATCTTTAGGGAAAAAAAAGAATGGCTGTTTTAAAGTCAGTTATGCTAGCGCCTCCTCTGCTTGGTGGGTGTGTGTTGGTGGTCTGGGTCCACTGGCTGAGCCCATGGTGTGTGAGCTTCCACAGGCCCCTGGACCTGGGGGTTGCCTGAGGCTCTGTGACCTTCATCTGGGCTGGTTTCCTGGGTATCGCTCTCGTGGGGGAAGGGGGCTGCCACCTCTCACTGCTGTGTGGATGTGAGAGTCCCGGCTCCTGGGAGGTAGCGGGTAAAGTTTCCGCCTGTGATACCGGCGACCCCTGTATGGGCACTGGTTTGTGGCCCGGCTGCTCCACTTCCAGTCCAGCTCCCTGCTAATGTGCTTGGGAAAGCAGCAGCAGAAGGCCCAAGTGCCTGGGCTCCTGCCACTCACATAGCAACGCTCCTGGCTCCTAGCTTCAGCCTGACACAGTCTGGCCATTGTGGCCATCTGGGGAGTGAACCAGCGGATAGAAGATCCCTCTCTGTGTCTCTCTCGGTTTCTCTCTGTGACTTAACCTTTCAAATAAATAAAGAATATTGAAGAAAAACCAGTGAGTTGTGGCTCCCGTGGCCCCACACATATTCTGTGCTGAGGGAGGAGGGGGGTCCCTCCTTTCTAGGAGGTGGGGGTGCCAGGCCTGGCTCCACTACGTGGCCTGGGGTAGGGTGGGGGCCGCGTCCACTGGGGACCTCTCACGCCAGCTTTGCTGCTGGGGGCGGGGCTGGAGCCCTGGCCTTTCACCGTCTGTGGCCTGCAGTGGGGCTTACTGCCTAGAAGTTTCTTTTCTTTTTCTTTTTCAAGATTTATTTATTTACTTGAAAGTCAGAGTTACACAGAGAGAGAAGGAGAGGCAGAGAGAGAGAAGTCTTCCAGCCATTGATACATTCCCCAGTGGGCACAGTGGCCAGAGCTGCTCTGATCTGAAGCCAGGAGCCAGGAACTCTCCCATGCTGGTGCAGGAGCCCAAGCACTTGGGCCATGCTCCATTGCTTTCCCAGGCTACAGCAGAGAGCTGGATCGGAAGTGGAGCAGTCGGAACTCGAAACGGCACCCATATGGGATGCCGGCACCGCAGGCGGGGACTTTATCCGCTACGTCACAGTGCCGGCCCCGTCTAGAAGTTTCTTTTGTGAGACTGCTCAGCCAAGGGCCTCAGGCTGGGGAGAGGGTTCTGGGGGGCCTTCTCTGGTCTGTGGCCACTGGCGTTTCTGAGTTGCTGCCTCTCCGGCTCTGAGGCCGGGATGTGCTGCGCAGACAGAAGACGCAGCCGAGCCCAGCTGAGTGGGTCCCTGCCGCCTGGGCCATGAGGAGCTTCCTGGGTGGTCCGAGCTGCCCTGCGGGAGGAGGAGGGACCAGGACGCGGCAGAGTCCTCACGGCTGCCACCTCCGCCTCTGATTGGTGTTGAGAGTGGCGTGCCGGGCAGTGAGGGTCACCAGGTTTAGGTTTGCGGGGTCCTAGCAGGCGCTGCCTTCCCTGCAGGGTGCTGGCTCAGGGTGGCCTCTGTCCCGAGGCCTGCTGCCCTGTGTTCTCTCCACACTGATGCTTTGCTTCTTGGGCCCCCGGTCGGTGTTGAGACTGGGTGCACATTTGAAGAAATCCCTCTGTACTGCCGCGGGCCGGGCTGGGAGGGAGGGTGGGGGACTGGCTGGGTAACGGGGACCCCTCTCTCCCGCCCAGGAGCGGCTCCTCATGAGCCTCCTGCCCCGCAACGTCGCCATGGAGATGAAGGAGGACTTCCTGAAGCCGCCAGAGAGGATCTTCCACAAGATCTACATCCAGAGACACGACAACGTGAGGTAGGGTCGCGGTGGGGCGGGGCGGGGTGCGGGCCGGAGCCGAGCCTTGCTCCGCCGGTGCCGGTGCCGGCGTCTCGGCTGAGCCTGCCACACTCCTCGCTCCTCGGCTGTTCCCGTGACAACCTCGGGAGGTGTCACAGTTATCCCCACTTTACAGGTGAGGAAAGTTAGCCCTCAGAGCCAGCCGACTCGCTGGCTGCAGACACTCCAGGGTACGCACTGGCGCTGCCTGTAGGGAGTTGACACTCGAGGTGGGCGGACCCGGCGGGACCCAGACGCTCCCTGTCCGCTGCCCTCTGCCGGCTCTTACGGTGTTGCTGTCAGGCTGTGTGCACTTGGGCCCCTGAGGAGCGCTGGTTCTGCCTTCCGGCCAGCACCGCAGACTGGTCCCCGTGAGCCAGGGTTTGTGGACCTGTCCGGGCCCCTGCTGTCCCTGTGTGCTAAGGGCGTGGCCGCTTGGCAGGCGGCTCATTCACGCCCTGCCTCCGGCTGCTGCGTGAGGACCCTGCAGAGGGTAGGGCCGAGGCCCTGCTCTGTCCTGGAAAGATTTCAGCCGCAGGAGCCAACGGAAGAGAGACCGGGGAGGAATGGAGCGGTCGTCAGTGAGAACAAGCGCCGGGTTTAAGTCAGGGCTGTGGGGCAGCCTGTGGCGCAGGGCGATGCCCGCATCCCACGGGGGAGCCCCGCATCAGGCCCGGCTTCTGCCCCGCCCCGCGTCCCGACGGCAGCAGGACGGGCCTTCCTTCCTCAGAGCTTCCTTGGGCAATGACAACAGGCGAGGCAGACAACAAGGGGACTGGAAACCTCAAGGAAACCCAGCGAGCGAGATGCCCGCGGGGCACTTGGAGAACGGAATTCTGCGGGGCTGCCCAGGGACCGAGCGCGCACAGCGTGAGGTCAGCCGCCGTCTCAGCCGCCGCCCCCAGTGCTTCCTCGCGTCTGAGGGGAAGCTGCGCGTGGTTTGCTTCGTTTCTCTGTGAGACTGTGGCTCCCACGGGCAGAGCAAAGGCAGGCGACAGAAGCCCCCTGAGGACCCTCGGCACTGGACTTCTGGGAGAAAACCTTCAGTCTGCTGGTTTAAAGGTGTTCAGAGAAAAGCCGTCTACACAACAAAAGGAAACGTGTTCTCCTCCAGCCGGGCAGAGCCATAGAAAGTGTTTGAAAAACCCGATGAAGCAGAAATTGCAGATTTGAAAAATTATTGCAATGAAAAATCCGCCGTTGCACACGGCTCAGCAGCACTGAGCGGGCAGGAGGCGGCAGCAGGCGTTTCGGGGAGGGCTGGCGCCCCCGGAGACCAGGGTGGGGGACACACACACACACACACACACACACGCCACCCAGCGGATCGACAGGCGGCCGGGAGTCCCAGCAGAGAGGGAGGCGGGGTGGGGCACGCGGAGAGGAAGCGGGGATTGAAGAAACAGTGGCCAGAGATGTCGCCCACGCTGGGGAAAGCATCGACCCACATCCGAGAAGCTCCGTGTACTCAGAGGGTATGTGCACGGACACCCACCGTCAACAGACGCTCTGAAGCTGAGCGCGGCGGAGCAGCCGGGGAGGGACCACTCGGGCCCTGCAGGGGCTGCCCGGTCAGACCCACAGCCAAGTCCTCCCCGGGGCCCAGGGGGCCGAGGCGGTGGGGGGCAGGAGCAGCCCCGTCAGCAGGTGTATCCCCTGCCCAGCCCTGGCGGACCACCAGGGACCCTGATCCAGTTTTCTCCGTGGCTCCCTGGGCCATCTTGGACGTACGCTGGGTGCAGAGTGGATCCTGCTGAGGGCAGTGACGTTCGCTGGGCGCCGTTGTTCACTGCTGAGTGCCGGGCAGCTGGAGCCGTGCCTGCCCACACAGCCCTCACCATTGGTACCTGGCGGATGAGCCAGTGAAGTAATGGACGAGTTGAACACTGATGGTGATGAATGACTTAAGCACTTGCCTGGCTCATCTCCGGTGCAGGACGAGATGGGCAAGTGGCCTGGGGTCCTTGTGCCCTCCTGTGCTGGCCTGTCTGTGGCGACACCCTCTGCTGTGGCCCTCCTTGGCGTGGATAGCTTCTGTGTGGGGCTGTGGTTTAGGGAGTCCCAAAGTTGGAGAAAAGCCAGGAACATCTGGACTGAGGGGAGCGAGCCATCAGGACCACGTTTCAGCGTCTTTGTTCTGCAAGGAGCACGCTGGGGAAACCCTGGAAGCGTCTTAGTCTTCTCGTCTGCACGGGGGCGGCTGTGGCTTGCAGGCGGACGCCGTCTTGCTCCGGCCCACCCAGCTCCCTGCTGCACCGAGCAGACCCCCAGCCGGCCCTCACCGACCGAGTTTCCACTGCACTGCAGCCTGGCGTGCAGGAAGTCATGGTCGGGGACCCTTCCATTGAGGGCCTTGTGGTCACCCCTGTCCGGCTGGCCAAAGGGGCCAGGGAGGGTGTGCAGGGGCCCAGGCACCTTGGGAAAGCACGCTGCTGCTGCTGCTGGCCACGTCCAGGCACGTGGTCTGCCTGGGGTTGGCGTGGGGGACAGCGAGCCCTGACCAGCTCAGTGGCTGCCCTCCCCACAGCGTCCCTGAGCCCCAGTGTGAAATGGGAGCGAGGAGGCCCTGCTGTCCAGCCTGCACGAGGAGGACGTGGGTGCCCCTGCCGCTCTAGGGGTGCGGTCACTTCCCGAGGGACGGGAGGAGGAGCCCATCACTGTCCCTGCCCCAGGGAAGTGTCCCTGTCCCTGTCACCACTTCTTTCTCTTGCAGCATCCTGTTTGCGGACATCGTGGGCTTCACGGGGCTGGCGTCCCAGTGCACGGCCCAGGAGCTGGTCAAACTCCTCAACGAGCTGTTCGGCAAGTTTGATGAATTAGCCACGGTAAGCAGCTCTGGGCGGCAGCGGGAATTCGGCCGCAACGGCTCCCGCAGCACGCTTTGCCAGGAGGGTTCCGGCCGCGGACTGGGGCAAAGCTGCTCAGCTGGCCCGTGGTCAGTGGCCACAGCTTTTAGCCTCGCCCTTCGCCGATGCGGACCTAGGAGGCAATGCTGCACCAGCTCGGCCAGCCGCCTGCCATCGAGGGCTCTGGGCACACGGCTCGGGCTCGGCTCGGCTCGGCTCAGCCACGTGCTGCCTCGTGGAGTTCTGGGCGTGGCACACAGAGCCAGTGGCTGCAGCCTCAGGGTTGGAGGTGGCTGTGGCCGTGGCTCTGTGGGCGCTGCCTCCGCTGGGCTGCCCTCCTGGGATGGAACTGACTGCTGGGGCCATCTGCAGAGCTGCCGAGCTGGCCTGGGAGAGGGCCACGCTTGCTCAGGGCAGGCTGCCTACTGGGACTGAAAGTCCTTCCTGGGACTGCCCCTGGCAGATCCCACGCAGGAGCGCGCGTGTTTGCATTCCCAGGTGGTCGAGTGGCTGATACTCGCTGGGTGTCCTGGTCTGGGGTCTCGGGAAACTCAGCAGTAAGCCACAAGGTATTTGCAGAGCGGGGAGGGGGCCTGCAGGGCTGGGCTGCCAGCCGAGGACCGTGCAGGCCAGGAGAGGGCACCTGCCCCCGGGTTTCCCCGCGGCCTGCATTGGTGCTGGGGATGGATCCGGCAACAGTGGGTCCTGTGCTGGGCTGCACCCTGCTGGCCCGAGGGGAACCCCGCACTCACTCCACTCCGCTCGTGCGTCCCCCCTAGACGTAGCGGCCCCCGGGCTGGAGGGGACGGCTTCTGAGGCTCCTGCCCACCTCCCAGGAGTCCCCTCTCTCCCTCTCCAGGAGGCCTGTCAGGCGCTGGTGCCCGGGGTCCCTGGAGCCCAGCCCCGTGAGACGGGAGGAGTGTGTGAGAGGAGCGAGCGGGAGGCTGGGCGGGGCCGCTGAGGTCGGGGTGGCCAGAGGTTCCCTGGATGAGGGGAGGGAGGGGCTGGCTGGGCGGGGTCACTGAGGTGCAGGAAACCCTGGAGGCCGTGTGGACCCCGGGGTGGACGCTGCTCCCTTTGGACGGTTGCTTTGGGAAGGGAAGGTCCCGGCATGCGTTGGCTTCCTGGGCATGGGGTGCTGGCAGGTGCACAGCCCTTCCTCCCTGGGGGGGCCGGGGTGCTGCCTAGGAGGCTCTGTGGACAGGAAGGGGAGCTGACACACGGCGCCTTCCTTCTCCCAGAAGACGAGAGTGCTGAGTGCCCGCCCTCTGCCAGCCCTGGCCCTGATCCGCGGCCTCGGGCGCTCTCCCACCCGTGCCTCCCTGTGGCTGGGCCCGAGCCCCGCAGAGCTGCCTCCTCTTGGCTGCTTCCTGCGCGGGTGGCAGTGCCTGCCCCCACCCCGCGGCCGCCTGGACCCTCTGCCGTCCGTCTCTCCCCGTCTCATCCCCACCTCCCTTCAATCCAGGCAGCCTTTGGTCTGCTCTGTGCGCCTCAGGTTGGCATCCTCTATGTCCCTGTGTGAACAGCGCAGGGAGCGCTCTGCGTGTCTGGCGTCCCCTCTCTTGCACCGCCAAGCTGAGACCTGTCCATCCGGGTGCGTGTGCAGCCGTCCCCGCCTTGTCCCCCAGATGCCCAGGACAGCGGCGGGCACCCTGGCACACCGTGCGGCAGCGCAGGTTTCTTTCCTCGGAAGCACGTGGTGGCTTCTCTTGGGCGAGGCTGAGTTGCCAGCACTGACTCTGTCCTTGGGGGCCTTATTCAGAGAAACAAGGCATTTCGTGTCTTTTCCTAGTTTATCCCTAAGGAGTTCCTGGTCTTTGATAGTACTGAAGGTGCTATTATTAACCCAATTTCTGATTCTCGGTTACAGTGTAGCAAAGTATAGTGGAGTTTTTGTATTCATTTGTAGTTCTGAAGTTCTCCTATAGTCACTTATTTTTGGCAGGTTTCTGCGGGTTTCCAGGGAGATCTTGATCATGTTGTTTGCAAATGAAAGCAGGATGCACGGTGCACTTGGGGAGGGCGGGCCCTGCTGTCTCGTTCTCGCTCCCAGGGAGAGCCGTCCAGCCTCTCTCATGAAGTTTGGAGTTAGCTGTGTGTGTGTGTGTGTGTAATCAGCAAATGGAATCTCTTTCTGTGTCACCCTGCTTCTATGCAGATGAAAGTAAAGACACATTGCCCAAAGAATTGTTTATGTCTCCTGCAACTTCCCGGGCCTTGTTCTCTCCATCATTGCGAGTGTTGAGATCTTGAATTCTCCTTCCAGATTGGTCAGTTTTCTGCGTCGCCGGTGCGTCAGCCGGGTCATCAGGTTCTTGGCCCGCACACCTTGCTGTGTCCTCCGGATGAACTGGTCCGTCCATGTGAAGAAGCGGCTCCACCCGTAGTGTTCTCTGCTCTGTCGTCTCGCTAGCCTGACACTGATGACGATCTCTGTTCCGCTTCCCTTTGGTTGTCATCAGAACGTAGGCGTCTTCCATGCTGTTAGGTCGTCTCTTCTGTCTTTCTAGTTAAAGTTTGTTTCCAGTTGGATTTTGCTTTTATTTTTTGTCCCATGCAACAATCTTGGTTAGGTTTGGAGTGTTCAGACTTCTCTTTGAGATATATTTATTTGAAAGATATGTATCTGGGGCTGGCACTGTGGCGTAGCTGGTAAAGCCGCCACCTGCAGTGCCGGCATCCCATATGGGCGCCAGTTCAAGACTTGGCTGCTCCACTTCCAATCCAGCTCTCTGCTATGGCCTGGGAAAGCAGTAGAAGATGGCTCAAGTCCTTGGGCCCCTGCACCCGTGTGGGAGACCCAGAAGAAGCTTCTGGCTCCTGGCTTCGGATCAGCACAGCTGTGGCCGTTGCAGCCATTTGGGGAGTGAAACAGCAGATGGAAGATCTCTGTCTCTCTCTGCCTCTCCTTCTCTCTCTGTAAATCTTTCAAATAAAATAAATAAATTAAAAAAAATAGAAAGATATGTATCTTCCATTTGCTGATTCATTTCCTTAAATAGCCACACACCCAGGGCGGGGCCGGGCTGAAGCCAAGACCAGGAACTCCGTTGTGGTCTCCCACGCGGGCCGTCTTCTGCTGCTTTCCCAGGCGTGTCCGCGGGGAGCTGGATTGGCAGTGGAGCTGCTGGGACTCGACTGGCGCTCTGATGCAGGATGCTGGAACTGCGAGCAGCGGCCTGGCCTGTGGCGTTTGGACTCCTGGCCGCTGTGGCCAGCTGTGACCTGTGGCTTCCCAGGACCGTGGTTTGTCCCCTCTGCCCTTTGTTCCCTGTTTGCTTTTCCCGCCTTTATGTGGATTTGTTGAGTACACTTTATGATGCTGTTTTACTGTGTTTGTTTGTTATTAAAAATAAGTCCCTTTACTCCATACTCGCGTGGTTCCTTTGGGCTTTCCTAGTGTCTTGTAACATCTGGTGTCCCGTGATCTGACTACCGCGTAAGAGCCTCACTTCTGGGGCGCAGCAGGTGAAGCTGCCGCCTGTGATGCCGGCATCCCATTCTGGAGCGCCAGTTCAAGTCCCCGCTGCTCCACGTCCCATCCAGCTCCCTGCTAACAGACGGGAAAGCAGCTGAAGATGGCCCAAGTGCTTGGGCCCCTGCACCCACATGGGAGACCCTTATGGGGTTCTTGGCTCCTGGGTTCCACCTGGCCCAGCCCTGGCTGTTGCGGCCATTTGAGAAGTAAACCAGCTGGCGCCGCGGCTCACTAGGCTAATCCTCCACCTAGCGGCACCAGCACACCGGGTTCTAGTCCCGGTCGGGGTGCTGGATTCTGTCCCAGTTGCCCCTCTTCCAGGCCAGCTCTCTGCTGTGGCCTGGGAGTGCAGGGGAGGATGGCCCAAGTGCTTGGGCCCTGCACCCCATGGGAGACCAGGAGAAGCACCTGGCTCCTGGCTTCGGATCAGCGCTATGCGCTGGCCGCAGTGCGCCGGCCGTGGCGGCCATTGGAGGGTGAACCAATGGCAAAAAGGAAGACCTTTCTCTCTGTCCACTCTGCCTGTCCAAAAAAAGAAAGAAAGAAAGAAAAAAAAAAAAGAGAAGTGAACCAGCAGGCGGAAGAGCTCTCTTTCACCTGCCTTTGAAATTAAAATAATTTTATTTTTTGGTAAAAAGAACCTGACTCCCATTTCTTCCCCGTTGGCCTTTCTGAACACATTCCAGTGTCTTAGTTTCTCCTGTGTGAGGCTGCTGTCTGTTGTTGGTATGCGTGTTTACACGGTCCGTTCCCTTCCGGGGGATTTCAGCACGAGGAGCTGCTGCGTGCGTTTGCGGGGCGCTCTTTCCCTTTCTCCACCCAGAGTCTCCCTGGCGTCTCCCGTGGGCTGGTGGTGACTTCTTCCTGCCTTCGTGTCTCTGAGGAGCTCCTCATTTTGCCTCCATTTACAAGGGGTTTCTCGCCACTGCTCGTCCGATGCTAGGCGGGCGGCTCTGCTTCCTTCGGAACGTTGGAGCCGCAGCTGTCATGCTCTGTGTTCTGTCTCCAGTGGGAGGCCTGCGTCGGCTCGCGCTCCCTGGGGTGGTGGGGCTCTGTCTCTAGTGGGAGGCCTGCGTCGGCTCGCGCTCCCTGTGGTGGTGGGGCTCTCTTGGCCTGGAAGCCCTGCCCTCTGTCCTGGTGTCAAGGGCTTTGACTCTGCTGTGGTTTTCTGTGCTTGCAGTCCGTGGAGCTTCTTGCATCCGTCCATTCACCATTGTGTCTCATTAGAGCCCAAGGGCTGGTGTGGCTTACCGGGCTAAGCTGCTGCCTGTGACACCGGCATCCCATGTGGGTACCGGTTGGAGTCCTGGCTGCTCCACTTCCAATCCAGCTCCTTGCTAATGCACCCAGGAGATCAGTGGAAGATGGCCCAAGTCCTTGGGCCCCTGCGCCCACGTGGGACGCTCCTGGCTCCTGGTTTTAGCCTGGCCCAACCCTGACCATTCTTTTTTAATTTATTTTATTTATTTATTTTTTTTGACAGGCAGAGTGGACAGTGAGA